AAAGGGTTTGTGTCTGTACTATAGGATGCAATCAAAGGATATAACAGTACGTTTAATCTATGGTTATTTATTGCCAGATATAAACGTTATAATTTCATTTCCAGTCGAACATGAATCTACAAAATCACAGAGGAACACACACAGGTGAGAGACCATTCCAATGTTCACAATGTCCGGCAACTTTCAAACAGAAATATGTGAAAACCATGCATGAAAAAAAAAACAATATAATATAGTATGAAACGACAGACAAATGTTACTTCTTGTATTATTTGTAAGACTTTTTCAACAGTTTGTTTTTATGTTTTAAGTGTGTACAATAAATGTTTAAAACTTAAACTACGGTTTTCTTTAATTTTGTCTTACCTTTTGTTAAAAAAGAATTTGATCGAGTTAGTGTGGCAACTAGGGTCATAATGCAAATTATGAATTTTAGATATTTTTTATTACAGCTCAAATTTTTATTTATGAAAACGTTTTTAAAATTCTTACAGTTTTGGAGATAATCCAAATATTAGGAGGTCTAATATTTTACCTAAAGTCAACACTTTGTTTCCAATGCGCACTACTCTTTGATGTTGCACATCATACTTGATTGTCAAATTGACAAGACAGTAAATGTCAATCGCAACTTGTTTTCGTTTATATTTATCGTGAATACTTGTTTATTAATGCAAATATAATGGTTACTGATATTTTAAACTATTTAATAATGTTTTTCACGTTCTGATTATGATACAGAAACGAATTAGTTTATCAAAATGAGTATGAAGGTGGAAACAGTTAGTGTTTGCTATGGATGTTTAAGCGCAAATCGAAATGCAGTTCCTTTAGGTGAATTATCGGAATTATTTTGCATTTTAGTACCACAGGTAATTATGTTTTATTAATAACTACCTTTCGCCCACGACTCCGTCCACGTGGAATTAAAAAAAAAACCAAAAGTGATTAGCCTATGTTGTTGAGAATTAAACGATTTATTCCATGTTAGTTATCATTTTATTCATCTCTCTGACTTTTTAACAAAACATCACCATGGTAACCGCTTACATTTTTATATCCAAAGAGTATCAAAATTATAAAACATGTCACAAATTAAAAAGCTAATTATCAAAGAATGTTTATTGTTCTTCCAGACTATCCTCTACATCTATATAAAATTTCATCGAAATCCGTTCAGCCGTTTAGGCTACAAACTCTTACCAACATCCATCTAAACTTTCGCATTTATAATATTAGTATAATAGATGTATAAATTAACTAGAACTATTCACAAACCAGAGCTTGTATTTTAAATAGTTAAAAAGGGTATAAGCAAATTAAGTTAACTTTATTTTCAGACATTTATATATGAGAATGTACTTCTCTGTTGGGAGTGCAGAAGTATATTAAAGAAGACATGGAAATTCCAGCAAAGGATTCAACAAGCTCAGATATTAATGCAAACTCCTGAATTCCTACTTGTAAGTAAGATTCAAGTTAATTTCCAGCTTGTTAAGGTGTCAAAACCACTTTAAGTTATTGACTAGGGCTTTGCCAACAACACCCTATGAAGACTAGAACAGTCTACACCAGAGTTCCTCAAACTTTTTTGTGTCGTAGACCCCTTGAAATGTTTTTCCATGTTGGGTAGACCCCCTACTTACCTAATATTGATTGACTTTCTAACTGTAGTGAAGTTTAGTGTTAAAAACTTAAAATTAATACACATGTTAATTTATATCGATGGGTGAAAGGCTATTTATTTTAAGCGCCATTAGGTTAAATCTTCAGGAGAGCCATTTAAAGTTTAAAAAAAAACAGCGTAAACACTTGTTCTAAAAATAATTGGAATTAAAAGATTTTCAGACTGGTTTTAGATTAAAATTACTATAATTCTGCATATTTCAATGTTTATTAACGACACAGAAAAAATCACCTATTCTGGATATGTTACATGTAAGTCATTGTTACCTAAAATGGCGGTTGAAACATAGCCTTTCACGCATCAATATATTTAGAAATTGAATTTAAATTAAAACTACTTAAAATTAACAATATTATATATACTTTTTGATATTACAAGATAGTATGATGTAAGTAAATAAGTACTATCAGTGTATGTGTTGAGATCCACTATCATGGACCTTCATTTTCATTTCATGGACCCCTAATTTATTTTTCGCTGACATAGACTTGCAGGTTGTCATAGACCCCTAGGGTCACTACACACATATACACTTTGGGAATCACTGGTCTATACTAAAATATGTAAAACTAGACTCTGGTTAACACACAATATTAGTAGTGGTAGTTTACAGTGGTAGTGCCTGCTTTAACATCTTAGCATGAATGGGCTGGCTCGCCCGGAACAATACAACGACCTCACAGAAGACAGGCGAGAAATTCCGTGTTTAGGAAGCAATTCCGTGATTCGTCTGATGAGTGTGGTGCCATATGCCTAATTTAAGTCCCTTTACTATTATTTTCTTACAGAGGGAGGATGGGAATGGGAAGTGGATTTGACGGTAGAGGAGATGCATAGGAAGGGGAAGTATCCTCTTTATGTGCGTCTCCTCCTCCGTCAATGAAAGGTAGGCAACGCATCTGCAATTGCGGATGTTTATGGGCAGAGGTCGCTTTCCATTTCGGTGGATTCAGGTGTATGTTGCTCGTTTGCCACTTTATGTTATAAAAAATAGTAGACGTAGGGGCTACGGTTTACGTAGCTCCACAACAATAGGACATGGATCATTCCAGCCATTAAATGTACCTTTTTTTTTCAGGACTATTCAACGTCCAGTCTATCAACATTACAATTAAAAGTTATTGACAGTAATTATGATATTGTGTATAAAAATTACTCGGACAATGAGGATAAAGTCAAATTAGAAATTGAGGCAGAATTTAAAATAGATTCTGCTGTAGATAATGTACATTATAATGAAATTGAAATTGAATCTAAAGAAGTCATTGATACAGAAAATAATGATTTAAAAAACAAACAATTTGATGAATATTTCGATGTTTTGATATATGAGAAAATTAATAGCGATGATAAAATCCAAATCGATAACAAAGATATTGAAAATATAACTAAAATAAATAAAGGGAAAAGGAACATTGAAATTGGAATTACACCAGAAATTGAAAAATCATATTCAGATGATGAAAATCATGAAGATAGTGATAATGAAAGTATAGAAATTATTGAAAAAACTAAGAAAATAAGAAAGAAGCAAATTAAGTATACATCAGAAGAAAGGCCGAGTAGATTTAAGAAAATAGAACTTATAACTAAAAACACTTTAAACATGGAAAGGTTTTATGATACAAGTGTTGTTAATGAAAAAGTATTACAAGATATATTAGATAATGGAATGTCAATGAAATATAATGGAAAATATAAATTTAAATGTGGAATTTGTAATACACCATTTTATAAGAAAATTAATCTACAAAGACATACTATTTTAACACATCTTCCTGTACGTAAAATCTAATTTTTGTATAACTATATCTGATTATTCCGTTTCACTAAATTTACCTAACCAGTTAGGTAACAAACATTTTTTCCGTTTCCGTAACCTAGGGTGCGTATATTTTTCCATTTTCCGGGCCATCCATTACTATCTTACTAATATTATAAATGCAAACGTTTAGATAGATGGAAGTTTGTTAGAGTTTGTAGTCTAAACTGCTGAACGGATCTTGATGTAATTTCGTATAGATGTAGAGGATAGTCTGGAAGAACACATAGGCTACTCAATTTTTTATTCCACGCGGACATAGTTGCGGGCGAAACCTAGTTATTATTATAAAGTAAAGTATTACTTTTCCTTTAAATTTCAAATAATTGCTGTGTGGTGTCTGTCAGAGTGAAATTGGCAGTGGTTTCAGACAATGTATCGGCGGTTTGGTAACCGGACACTTGAATTTTTTCGTAAAAAAAAAATTAAATAATATAAAAAGGTATCGGCAAGATGAATTCCGGTACTTAAAACAAATCGCGACCAAACGTACAATGTCAATTAGATCGATATTAAATTGCGCTATCTATTTGGTATTGAAATCGATAACTGTTCGTTTTAATATGAGATTGAGAAATGAAACTAGCAAAGTGTACTCACCCTAGCAAAAAAATTGACTAGTTACGAAAAAGGAAAAAAAAACTTGTTACCTAACAGGTTAGGTAAACAAAACAAGCATCTATATCTGTACTGTCAGAGCTTCGCTGGTTCAAAAGTTTGAGCATTTGACTTGTAATCTATAAGGTCGGATCCAGGGGGTTGGTCATGAGGGTCTTAACCCCTAAACTGGTTGGTCAAAAGCATGACAAAATATCTTACTAATCTTACTAACTAATATTATAAATACGAAAGTTTAGATGGATGGATGGATGGATAGATGGATGTTTGTAGCCTAAACGGCTGAATAGATTTCGATGAAAATTAGTATGATGTAGATAATATGGAAGAATACATGGGCTACTCATTTTTTTTTAATTCGACGCGGACAAAGTCTCGGGCGAAAGTTAGTATTTACATATTTTGTCAATCTCGACTTGACCATGACTATGTGACACCCCCTGGCGGCAAAGCTGGATCTGGCCTTGGTAATCTACAGGTCTTGGGTTCGAATCCCGCAGTATCTGTTCTAAGATGTGTGAAGTCAACTCGAAGTGCAGTGTGACTATGTCCTAGTCATTTAGTTTAAGCTCAGTGAGGACATATAACTGGTGATATCTATACTAATATATATAGTGGTAGCGCTTTAACATCTTCGCACGAATAAGTCGACTCGCCCGGTATAATACCACGACTACAAAGAAGGTGTGAAGTGGGTGCAATTCCGCGTACAGTCAGGTAGTGATGCCGGAGGCTTAATTTAGGCCCCTTTAACTTTCCACCCTTTTCTTAAGAAGAAAGGATGGGAAGGAAAAGTGGATTTGACGGTGGAGGAGACGCATAGGAAGGGGAAATGTCCGCATCTGTAATTGCGGATGTCTATGGGTAGTCGCTACGTCCGGCGGATTCAGGCACATATACACGTAAACACATACTTTTAGTTATGATAGATGTCAGCAATAACAATCTACTTTTGAATAATTCATTTTTATAGATAACTAGCTAATTCGAAAATTCGATTTAATAGTTTACATGTGTCAAGTTATCAATTGCAAATGTCAAAATGACATGACATGATGTCAAACTATGGCCACCATGCTTCCTAAATGTTGGCAGCTTGTAGTTTATGGTCCCTTTCCGACATGAATGTTTTTGCCAATTTATTAACCCCCCTAAATTTAATAGCGTGAATATATAGCCTAAAGCGTGACTTAAGTGTAAGGGTTTTTATTAAAAAAAAGAGTTATTCGAAAATACGCTGTAATTGCTGACATCTTAGGCAACAAAGAAGTGTGTGTTTACGCTTTATTATAATAGTATAGAGTATAGATATAGATAGAACATATAATTTCCAATAAGTTATATAAATTTGCAGGCAAAAGGGCCATATAAATGTTGCGAATGTGTTTATGAAACTCAATATATATCGGAATTGCATGAACATTGGCGGAAACATAGGGTATATAAATGTCGTCTATGCCCGAACTCATTTGTGACTGTAACTCAAATGATACGGCATTTACAACAGACGCATAAACATATTTATCAATGTCTGGAGTGTAGGAAAGAGTTTTAGTAAGTATAAAAAAATATAATAAAAAAAAACACAACTGATTGTACATCTAATCTATACATATAAATTGGAGTGTCTGTTTGCAATATTAAAAGAAAAATTGCAGCTTTCGACAAGATTTCGACAAAATCGCATTTAAAAAATTTTTGTCTGTCTGTCTGTCCGCAAGTCTTTGTTCCGGGTAATCTCCGAAACAGCTGGACCGATTACGACTGGATCACTGAAGGATATCTGACTTAGACGGGCATACCATAGGCTACTTTTTATCCCGGAAATAGCTATGGTTCCCGCGGGATACACTGATTTCGTCATTCCACGCGGGCGAAATCGCGAGCAAAAGCTAGTTAATATTATAAATGCGAAAGTTTAGACGTATGTTTGTTAACGTTTGTATCCCAAACTGGATGAAATCTGTCATAGATGTAGAGGATAGTCTGCAAACTCATATAGAATACTAGACTTTAAAAAAAAAAACAAAAATAAATACCCTATACGTTCTTCCAGAATGTCCACTACATCTGTACCAAGTTTCATAGAAATCCGTTCAGCAGTTTAGTCTACAAAATAACAAACATCCATCGAAACTTTCGCATTTATAATACTAGCTGTTGCCCGCGACTTCGTCCGCGTGTTATAAGAAAACATACGAACTATATAAATAACAAAAAGCTACGTATCCCGAGAACCGGACATTTCTCGGGGAAGAACCTTGTCCCATATATACTCCAGACTTTGTTTTATATCTGTGCCAAATTTCGTTGAGATCCATTCAGCAGTTTAGGCTACAAACTAACAAACATCCATCTATATTTTAACATTTATAATATTAGTATGATTTTCTAATTACTTGTATAATAATGATAACAGTTTTACAGCACGTATCGGGATATATTTCTTCATTACAAAGAAGCACATAACCAAAGGACATGTGATCATTGCGGGAAGGCGTTCAGAAGGAAGAAACTTCTAGAACAACATATGATGTATGTATTTATCCTTAAGATTTATGCTATCGCGGACTTTTCTGTAGAACTTTTTGAAATCGACAATTCTTTCATACATAATTTTTGTATATTCTACGTAAGCCGAGAAAAATTAAAGTTTAGTGAATTTTTAACGCCGGCGTCCAGAAACACGCTGTTTATCAATAGTTCCTAAACGTTAGTAGTAATAAAATATAGCTATACTTATATTAAAAAGAGGAAAGATTTGTATTTTTGTATGTATCGAAATAACTCAAAAACTATTGGGCTTATTTTAAACATTCTTTCACTGGTAGAATGGTAATTTATCTGTGAGTAACATAGGGTTTTATTAAATTTACGCGACCGAAGTCGCGTGCAACAGCAAGTTTTATATATCTCACTATTTATAAATGCGAAAGTTTTGATACATTGATGTTTTTTTACTAAAACTGCTGAAGGAATCTCGATGAAATTTGTCATAGATGTAAAGTGTAGTCTGAAAGAACAGATACACAATTTACTATGTTTAATTCTGTGCACACGGACACGTGAGCAAAGCAGGATTTATTATTTAGTATTTTTCGCCCGCGACTCTAAACATTTGAAATCTTACTAATATTATAAATGCGAAAGTTTAGATGGATGTTTGTTAGTTTGTAGACTAAACTGCTGAACGGATTTTGATGAAATTTGGCATAGATGTAGTGGATAGTCTGGAAGAACACATAGGTTACTTGATTTTACCTTGTGGACGGAGTCACGGGCGAAAGCTAGTAGTATAAATATTTTTTTTCAGATATCAACATTTACCGAGGAAATGTGATCATTGTGGTGAGATTTGTAAATCAGCTCATGGGTTGGGAGTTCACAAACGTATCTGTCGTCCTGAGAAACATTTCAAAGTTATAGTACCGGAATTATCATACTGTGTGGAATGCGACAAACAATACGATAGTATAGAAAAATATCAGAACCATCTCAGATCTGCAGTACTACATAACCCACCTGAACCAGTCAAGTATGTATCTATACTATTATAATAAAGCGTAAACACACACTTCTTTGTTGCCTAACATGTCAGCAATTACACCATATTTTTAAATAAAAAGCCCTACACTTTAACGCTTTAGGCTATATATTTACACGGCATTAAATTTAGGGAGTAAATATTTTGGATAAAAACCCTAATATGAGAAAGGGACCATAAACTACAAGCTGCCAACATCAAGGAAACAAGGTTGCCATGGTTTGACATCATGTCATGTCATTTTGACATTTGCAATTGATAATTTGACACATGAAAATAATAAAATAAAATTTTCATAATTCTATCCGAATAAAGTCGCACGGTAACAGCTAGTTGTTGATAACCTCAGTATGAGTTCTGTCAGTTTACAAAAGCATCTCTCATAAAAAAATAGACAAGTCCTTTATCGATGAAAGAAAAGTCTAACAAGTCGTAAAGGCATTCTAATTTCTTGGTTTCCAAACTTTTAGTGAATTCTTTGTAAAATTGTCGAATTTATTTCAGAGTCCCCTGTCCGGAATGCGGGAAAATTTTTAGTAGAAAATTGTATATGAACAATCACTACAAATTGTTCCATATGAAGAAATCTAAACATTATTGTGAAATTTGTAACAAGGTAAGAAAACATAAAAATAACATTAAACACATTTTCTCTAATTTTAATTTGAGGTCTCCGTCCATTCCTTTATCTAACAAAAAGGATTTAAATTTAACTGAGGTGGGTTTTTCCTAGTTCTGGGCCTACAAAGATCTTATGTCAGTTTTTGACAGGGGCTCCTGATAATTTTTAGAGTTACCAGTTAGCAATAAATTCCCAACTTATTTGAAATTCTCTCATTTGAAAAAAAAACAAAAATATATGCTTATGATTTGCAACTTATGACTGGTCATAACTCTGAAGTTAAAATTTAAATTAATACATCAAAATAGTAAACTTCATGCTTTTTTGTACATAATTAACAATAAAGAGTAATCGTAAAGAATTATTGAAATCGGCCCAATAGATATTGAGTTATTTCAATACATACAAAAATACAAATGTTTTCTTATTGTTAACATCATTCTCATGGCTTTATCAGCTACTATTTTTTATGAAATTACTTAAATAAAAATGTCTATTCTATGCAGATACTATATTGATCAAAATATGACGTTTTCATTGACATTTTTGGTTTACTATATTGACAACTGACAAGGTCCTTGTAAGTGTATAGGAGATATATGACCACGAAAAATCTAACATCACTTATTTTCAGTATTTTATATCGGCATTTTCGTTACGTAACCATAGAAAAGGAGTCCATGAGAAGAAATATCCGCCCAAAGACAAGATATGTGATGTCTGTGGAAGAGGTTTTAGGGTAAGTTTTAGTGTTATTTACTTTTAAAAACACTCACGGTTTTATTTACCACTGGCAACTAATAGTTAAACTGATATAGTAACTATAAAAATAAAAACTATAAACAGGGCTAACAATCGAGTGGTACTTAATATATTATTGAAAAATTCAAAATTTTAATAATCTTTTCAGGCAAATAGGATTCTTATTCACCACAAACGTACTCACACTGGAGAGAAACCTCACCAATGTGCGTATTGCCCATCGGCGTTCGCACAAATTACTGCCAAAAAGACACACGAAAGAACACAACATAATGTCATTTGAAATAAATATAAAATTATCTGAAAACTGGCTAAAATACAAGGATTATACAGTTGTCGATTTAGTGAAATCACATTTTGACCAATGAGGGAGCAGCAAGTGTACTGGGAATGTCGACATTTTTCTAATTTAGAAAAGATAGTTGGAGAGAATTGCGATAGAAGTTGGGAATTTTTTACTTACTGGTAACACTAGAGGTGTCCTGTCAATGTCAAAAAACTGTCATAAGACCCTTATATGTCTATAATCATACATTTACGCGAATTTAACTGTTTGTGGGAATATTAAGAATTCATTTTTGACTTTATGCTGTTTCTAGCAAAAACTAGATATAGTCAGTAGTTACCTATAGTTTTATTTATCAGTATATTTAATAAAATAAAGCAAATAAAACTTAAATAATTGTTTTATTTCATATAATTATCATACATTATTCAGCCTTATCATATATTTTGTAGTTATTTTTTAAAAATCATATATTTCATTATATTTATGTGCAAACATTTTATTACAAATCTATTTAAAAAACATTACTGTTATTACCTTTGCCTATCTTTAATAGACAGAGGAGAGGAACACAGAAACAGGATATTTCCCCTTCCAATCTGTTTCCTCTGTCAATTAAAGATAGATCTGCAATTGTGGAACTATGGGCAGCAGTTGCTTAGTAATTTCAGCTAATTCAGGTGGCTGTTTACACTTTTGTCACCTTTTATAGTAAAAATAATAATTTTTTCAGTGAATTACATAGTTTTTTAACAATTTCAACTGTGAAAAAGCGAGGTTAAGTCAGCAACAGAGCTCTGCAATTTAATATCATTGCATTATCATTAAAATTTAATCTCGTGATATTTTAATGAATAAACTTTAATCTTGAATTTCATCTCATGAGATTAATGTTTGAATTGTATGAAAACTTAAGTCCTGCATTAGTCTGTACTTAGACCAACACATTATTATTACAGTTCACTTGAGCCCTTTAATCAAGTTCAAAGTCATTTTTGTACTGAAGCTATTAAGTTTTTTTGTCATTCTCTGTTTACATATTTTCTGACAGAACTGCCCGGTATCTTACCAGGCTAGACATATTTGACCATAAACTGCTCATTTAAAAGTTAGTATAGGCCATTTAAATATACGTGTCTACTACATATAACCAATAAGGCAAGAGCTGACAAGATATTTGAAAACTCTTATACCAAAAATTTAATTTGATATCTGACTGTAAAAATATTTTTGTAGAGAAGTTTCACTGGCAACTGTACTTAATATAGACTTATCCAATTTAAAGCTAATTTCTTTACGAAATTTTAAAATATGTTGGTATCACTGAACTGTGTCTTTCCACTGTGTCGACACTTGTATATTGTATAATAGGCCGAGTAACTTGGATTATTCCCAACCGTCACCCTGCTCTGTTGCCAAATGTGAACAGCTGAGAATTAGAAGTTCTATATGTCCTACCTTTTGATACGAGGGGACAATTGTAATTTAATTTCATAACAGTTTTGTCACCTTATTGGTGATGAAACTAAATGGTGGGACGATGAAACTTTTTATTCTTACGTGGGGATAGAGTGGGGTGACGGTTGGTAATACTCTAGTTACTTAGCTAAAATTGAAATCCTGTAGATAACACCAATTTGAACTGTTTCAGAGCTGATTTAGATATACATTTTATACACTTTTACTTCTTTGACAAAACATAGCCTATAATGTGTAATACAAGTGTCAATACAGTGACTGTAATATTTTATTCTACATTTTCTTCTAAATTTGTGTGAATGTGGATGACAAAGGAAGAGGAAGACCGAAGAAAGTATGGATGGATTGTGTGAAGGAAGATATGCTTAAGAAAGGAGTGGATTCAGATATGACGGCTGATAGAGATGTATGGAAGAGCAGCACATACTGTGCCGACCCTCCATAAGGGATAAGGGCAAGTGGATGATGATGATTTTCTTCTAAATTTCACATTCAACCCTTAAAATGTAAAATATTGTTTCATAATTTGTGATTGTATATTTTTAACTGAATAGAAATCAGAAATTATCTGAACAATAACCTTTACAAGGCTCTTAACGGATTTTTTATAAACAGACATGTTTGTATCAATTTAAACACTGAAAAAGAAGTCGACAATAAATGACATCAGCCAGTGAGTGTCAGTGGCTCAGTGGTTTAAGCACTTGACTTGTTACCTACAGATCTTGGGTGCGAATCCCGCTGTACCAATGTGATTTTCAATTTTTCGAATTTTCATATGTACATAATTTACCCGACATTTTTACGGTGAAGGAAAACATGGTGATGCAGCACATATCGGCGAAGAAATTCAAAGATATGTGTGAAGTCAACCAACCCGCAGTGCAGCATGGTTGACTATGGCCTAGTCACCCTTACTTAGGGTAGGTTCCGAGCACTCGGTGGGGACGTATAGTGAGCTGGTGATGATGATGATGAGTGACGTGTATACAATTTCTCATTTCCCTAGAATAAAACTACAAGGAACTTTACCTTTTTAAATGTGGAATAATACTATTTTAATAATGTTTAACCATGAAATACAACTGCATTGACACTTGTATTATAGCAAGTGTATACAATATGTATACAAGTGTCATTATAGTGACATTCTAGTCAATAATCGTCATTGACTCAGATGTAAAGATGCCAAAATCACTGAATGTTAAGAAACAATGTCTGGTTTACATTTTTCTGATCTCTGAGCTAACACGTTGAAAAAACATTGGATTTCTCGCTGATATGTTTAAAATGCAACCAATTATTGTTTAAAGTGCAACAAATTGAATTAAGAATAAAAATTAATGGATTACTGGCTGACTAGGAATATAAAAACCTCACTGTTAAGAAAAATATGTAACTAATTTCTTCAATACATTAAAAGTAATGTTTTAAAAATACAATGCACCTCCAAGACTTACTTTCTTGGTTATACAACTTCTGCATAAGCGCTTTGACTAAACTATCACATAACTTTAGCTGTGCTTTGATTGCTGAGTTTATATGGTGTGCACACTACTCGATTTTTAGTTGTGCAACTAAAAACTTAACAGTGGTAGTGCCCGCTTTAACATCTTAGCACAAATGGGCCGGCTCGCCCGGTATAATACCATGACCACACAGAAGACAGACATGAAATGGAAGCAATTCCGTGTTTCGTCTGATGAGTCTGGTGCCAGAGGCCTAATTTAAGTCCATTTCTCTTTACCACCCTTCTCTTATGAGAGGATGGGATGGGGAAGTAGATTTGACGGTAGAGGAGATGCATAGGAAGGGGAAATATCCTCTTTATGTGCCTCTCCTCCTCTGTCGGATAAGGGTAGGCAACGCATCTACATTTGCGGATGTCTATGGGTAACGGTTGCTTTGCCATTTTAGCGGATTCAGGTGGCTGCTTGCTCATATGCCATCTTTTGTTATATAAAAAAAAAACAGTTGTGTGATTTTTTAGTCAAAGGGTGCCCACTCTTATACTTTACTATTTGCATGCAAAGTTTATTTACATAATAAGAAAATAAATCATTACCTGTAAACTATATAAATTTCTTATTTACACATTTCACACAACATTCACGTCTAATAGTTTTGTACCACTATCACTTTGTTTAGCGAACTTCATATATTCTTAAAACATTATTTATATAGCTTACCAACAAAGTTTAGCTATATTGTTAATAGAACAAACAAGAATGTGACAAAATAAAGATAAGAATTCAACAAACCAGTTGAATCAATTGACCACCCCTTAATATTTCAACCATTGTGAGTTGTTTGGGATTCTCTGCAACTCCTTGTCTAGGTCATGGGCAGACTCTAGCCTACCCTGAAGAGTTTTAACCCTTTGATGTTGTTGGTGATCACCATTATTGGTTTCAACCTTCGATTGTTTTACATTACTTTCAATATTAAGTAAGATATAACTCTGGTTGTCCATTTTCATCACCAGTTTTCAAGCCTTTGCATTTTATGATTAATTTGTTGACAAAATAAGATCTAGTCAATTTGATTCCTACAGGGTTTCGTTTCGTTCATTTCTCCCTACAATGTAGGGCCTATGTTTAGTCAATTTTACAATATTGTTTATTCCATCTGGTGTACCAACATAGTTAATATGACACTGGTGGTACTTGAGGCAACATATTATTATACATATACTGGTTTTCAACTGGTTTTACTTGCTGCATAGGCGGATGTATCACATTTGGTAACTGTTGCATTGGTAATACATTTTGTTCCGGAGGTTTCTTGTTTTTCTTTTCGCATTTCTTAAATTTAATACCCAGTTTGTTCAATAATATCAATCTAAGAGATTCCTTACCTCCTCTGTAATTTAATTCATGTTTCGCAGCAGCCAATATCTTACCTAATGTAGGTACTTCCTTTCTACTGCTGTAACTATTTACGATGCCTCTTAAAGCGCATAATTGGAAATAATCTAACTGTACTTTGGTTTTCCTTACTCTTTTCTTTTTAGGTCCCGTCATTTTAGTGTGTGTCGCCTCTGCGCGCAAACCGTCCCTTTTTATTCTTTTTATTGTGCTCTCTGATAAGCCAGTAGCAGCGCAGGCCCGTTTAACAACATTATCTACAGGATATGCATAACCTCTATTTTGTTTCTCACTTTCAAAGAACTTTATTACTTTATAAATTATTTCTCTCGCTTGTCCATCTATTGCTTCCTTTTTCTTCTTTTCTAACTTAGGCTTTAGGTCATCGGTGACTGTTGGTGCTTCAGGAATCGGTTGTTGATGGTTTATTTGGTTGTTAGGCGGTTGTTGATGGTTTTGTTGTTGGAGGTTTTGTTGTGGTGGTTGCTGGTGGTTCTGTTGCTGATGGTTCTGTTGCTGCTGCGGTTGTTGTTGGGGAATTACCATTGAATTCATATGTGTATTTAATATCGGTACATCATGCTGATTCAGTATTGGAACTTCGTGCATATTATGGTTTTCCATGGTTTAGTTTATTATTAGTTTGATTAGAACAAAGGAACACTTTTATATTACAATGTAACACTATACTTCCACATTGTGCGTATCCATCTCACAGAGTTTATGTTTATTTGAATACAATAATTGCTTATGCTTAGCAAGAAAAGTAGCCGCCATTTGTACACATAACATACAAAGACGGAAGGAATAATGTTGCCCGGTTCGGCAAGGCTCGTATCGTAAACGCAGATCACAGCGTCGGTTTTTTTTATTTATTTAATCATTTCTATTTACAAATAAAGCGAATACGGTAATACCCTGAACCATAACAAAAACCTGAAAACTTATCTATTGTACAAACGTTTGTTCAGAAATCTTTCCATTTCATTTTATTAAAATATGTCCTAAAAGTGTCTTTTTTAGTCTATGCTTTGACAAAAAGTGTTTGTCAATTTGTCAATGTCAATCACAATATTTGTAAATTAGAGTTCTACTTTTTATCAATTCAATAAGAAAAAACATTTTAATAGCATTTATTTGATATGAATAACTTTAAGTTTCATATAGGAAGTGTGTATACAACTTACTAAAGTTAAGGAGACACTGCATAAATTGGTTATCATTTAGAAAACTTTAGAAATTAGAGTTGAGATGGACGATAATTCAGAACTTTTGTTAAAAAAGTTATGCTGTACGTGTTTGAGCGAAGACAGAAAGCTGTTTCAATTGTGTAGAGTTAATAATGGTGTAAACAACTTGTATTGGTTGTTATCGTCGGATACGGAAGCGTTTAGGGTAATTCTATTTTTTACATTTACCAGTGGTAGAGCCCGCTTTAACATCTTGGCAATAGCCCTGATGTAATACCATGACCACACAGAAAACGGCCTTCTCTGTTCACACTCTTCTAAGGGGAAAGGATGGGAAGGAAAAGTGGATCTGACGATACAGGAGACGCATAGAATGCAGAAATTGCTCTTTATGTGCTTCTACTCCTCCGTCAATTAAGGGTAGGCAGCACATTTGCAATTGCGGATGTCTATGGGCAGCGGTTGCTTTCCATTTCAGTTGATTCAGGCCGCTTGCTCGTTTGCCACATTATACTATAAAAAACCTACTTTTGAAAAAATCTCTAAAGAAGCTAGTTTTTTTTTGAGAAATCAATCAAGTTATTAGTGATACCCTGACTTTTAGATCACAAATCCAGTGCTTAACCACTGCAATAACCTTAATCCATATGGAATCAATATTTTTAAATTTAATTTCAAACATTTTTAATTACAGGAAGGCTTTCATACACATGGCGCAAGTTTATACATTTGCTGGGAGTGTAATGCTGTTATGTCGAGGATGTGTGAATTTAGACAACAAGCATGCATGGCACAGAGACAATTGACATGTTTGATTGAAGGACAAAATGTTAGTGTAATATACTATTGGGGATAACATACACTTGGAGCAAACATGCTCTTGAGAAAACATACTGTTGCAGCTACTGTACTATTGGACCTAACATGATCTTGGGGATAACATGATCTTGGGTCTAACATGATCTTGGGGATAACATACTCTTGGAGCAAATATGCTCTTGGGGCTAATATGATCTTGGGGCTAACATGATTTTAGGGATAACATGATCTTGGGGTTAACATGATCTTGGAGCAAATATGCTCTTGGGGCTAACATGATCTTGGAGCTAACATGATCTTGGGGATAACATACTCTTGGAGCAATATGCTCTTGGGGCTAACACGATCTTGGGGATAACATACTCTTGGAGCAAATATACTCTTGGAGCAAATATGCTCTTGGGGCTAACATGATCTTGGGAATAACATGTTCTTGGAGCAAACATGCTCTTGGAGACAACATGATCTTTGTGGTTTGAGCCTACACAACTTATTGTTAAAACCATAGTTTACCACTTGGACCCACTGGTGGTTTACTTTACATATTGAAGGGTGAAAGATTAAAAGTTCAGGGGAGCCATTTAAAGTTTTCATCAAACGCCGACAGGCGGCGCTGGTGTTACGTAGTACTCTTTAATGCCGCAATGTCACCAGTGTTGCAATGCTGGCGCTAGTGTTGCATTGATTCCGACAAATATATAGAGTCATTATTGCCTAAAGAGGCGGTTGAAACAAATAGCTTTCCACCCGTCGATATATTTGAAATTTATCTACATACAATTTTACTATTTTTCAGAAAGCTATAAAAATGCTATCAAAACTAACACATACTTTGAAAGAAAATTTTGACTTTACTTTCACATATGAAGATGTAGACAATTTTATTGATTGTGGTATCGGAGAAGTTAAAAATGAAAATAACTTCGATTTTGATGATATACCATTATCAGATTATAATAATTATATACAGGATGTTGAAAAATATAATAAAAAACAAACTACAAGTGAAAAATCTAATATTAAAGATTCAATTGAAAATGAACCTTTGCAGAATAAAAAACAATATACAATTAAGAATGAAGAAACTTGTAAAGGTTTTAATGTTGAAAAAGATTTAGATAGAAACAATACAGATGATAAAAAGGTGAATAATATATATTAATACTTGTCTATATATGTGAATTCATTGTAAATAAGATATTATATACACTAGCTGTTGTCTATGACTCTTGTACAGAATAAAAAGAAACTAAGTAGCCATGTTCTTGACTATGTTCTACATTTTTTTTTTAAAATCACAGAAATTCGTTATAATAAATATACATCCAGTTCTTCACGTTTATAATATTAGGAAGATCTGTTGATGATATAATTTATTGTTTATGAATTTGTAAAGTTTTCTTTAAATTGAAACATTCATTCAGAAGACAAAATTTTATGGTCATTCAGTTGGTTTTTTGAGATTCCTATCTTTTGTATTACAGTAGAACCTTGATAAGTTAACATTCAAGGGAAATACAAAATAATTTAAGTTACAGAGGTTTTAAGTTATCAAGGGTCTGTTGTAGAGGTTTAGGGCTCTGATGGGAAGGGAACATATTATTTTTTGAAGTTATCGAGGTTTTTAAGTAATTTAGGCTGTATTGTATTATAAAAACAATTAAATAAACATTAAGAAATATAACAGTTATCCACAGATAAAGAAACCAGGTTCTAAACCGAGGCGTAATAAAACTATGAGGGACAAACCAACACCGTTCGGATTTTTATGTATTGAATGCAATAAATACTTTGAGTAAGTAAGCATTTTGCCTTTTTTAATATCTTAATCTATACTAATATTATAAAGAGGAAAACTTTGTATTTTTGTATGTATTGAAATAACTTAAAAACCACTGGGTCGATTTAAAAAATTCTTTCACCATCAGAAAGGTAATTTATCTGCGAGTAATATAGGCTATATTTTATTATTACTAATGTTTAGGAATTATTAATAAACAGCGTGTTTCTGGACGCCGGCGTTAAAAAATTACAAAACTAAATTTTCTCGGCTTACGCTGCCTAAACCGTTAGAGGTATATAAAAATGATGTATGAAAGAATTGTAGATCTCAAAAAGTTCTACAGAAAAGTCCGCGATAGCATATATCTATCTTTAACGGTTCTCTTACAATAACCACATTTTTGTTTACAAAATGAATTAAAAATGTTTGTATATATTAAAACTACTGGGCATATTTTAAAAATTCTTTCACCATCAGAAAGGAAATGTAACTGCGAGTACAATGTCTATAAAACTTATTCTCACACTAGCTTTCACCTGCGACTCCGTTCTCGTAAATTAAAAAAAAACAAAAGGAAGTAGCCAATGTGTTCCAGACTATCCTTTTCATCTGTACCAAATGTAATTGAGATCCGTTCAGTAGTTTATAATATGTTATAATATGTTATAATATGTTCCCTTCCCATCAGTGCCCAAAACCTCTATGACATAGACCCTTGATAACTTAAAACCTCTATAACTTAAAATATTTTGTGTTTCCCTCGGACTTTAACTTATCGAGGTTCTACTGCTAATAAGTAAGTTGTCAATATTCAAATATTCTTGTTTATATTTAACTGGCATTACCTCATACCAGTAACTGGCATGTTACTACCACTTGTAACTGGAATATGTATTTGTATTTCCAGTACAAAGAAATCAAGATGGATTCATGTACAAAGAACACATAGGGAAGGATTCGAATGCTCGACTTGCGGAAAAAGGTTTCCTTTCAGAAATAACTTGACAAGACATCAAATGTAAGTATAAGTGAATACTTTATACCATTTTTTAAGATAATTGCGTAAAACAAAACTTTCAAACAAAATACACTAAAAACAAAATATTCTCAAAAAAAACAGTACACTAAAACGTAACGAAATAATTCCTTGAAGATAGTAAACCTACCGTATTGTAGCTGTTATGTCTATATTGTACAATTATTATTTACTTACTATTACTTTGATGTCGGTGTCCGAGGTATGCAGTGATATTTCTACGTAAGGGTTTCCACATTTTTACCATAACAATTGACAATTGAAAGTATAGTACCAATTAAGTAATGAATCTACATTGACTGACACCGACTTCAAAGTAATAATAATTGTACAATATAGACATAACACTTACAATAAGGTAGGTTTACTATTTTCAAGGAATTATTTCGTTACTTTTTAGTTAACTGTTTTTTTTGAGAATATTTTTTTAGTGTATTTTGTTTGGATGAAAAATAAACCCCTAACTTAGGGTTAATTCTGAGCCCCTCAGTATAGTGAGCTAGTGATGATGATGAATTATATCTGGTTTAAACAGCACACACACATCACCACAGCCGCGTACCGAATGCACAATATGCCACAAACTTGTACGTAAGGATCTGTCGCGAGCACACTCGCGCACACACGCGCCACGCGACATCTACACGTGTGTGCTCTGCGTTAAAACATTCGCAAGCCAAGCGTCGTACGAACATCATCTAAAATACACGAAAACACACGCAGTTATTGATATACTCAAGTAAGTATGGCAAAGTATCTCAAACTTATTTTAGAACTAAGAACTAATATTGTATAGATACTCCAACTTATCGTAGAACTCAAATATTTACAGTATTATAGTAAGTCTGGCAAATATTCTCAAAATTATCCTAGAGAATAAATACTGCATACACTGTAGTAAGTTTAGCAATATTTCTCAAAATTATCCTAGAGAATAAATACTGCATGCACTGTAGTAAGTTTAGCAAAATTTCTCAAAATCAACCTAGAGAATAAATACTGCATACACTAGTAAGTTTAGCAAAGATTCTCAAAATTATCCTAGAGAATAAATACTGCATACACTGTGGTGAGTTTAGCAAAATTTCTCAAAATTATCCTAGAGAATAAAAACTCCATACACTGTAAGATTAGCAAAAGTTCTCAAAATTATTGTAGAATCTAAGTATTAACTTGGTTGAACTACCTGCACTTATTCTATTTGCTTATCATACTTATTTCATTTAGTTCCACAGACACATATCCCGACAAACAGGAATAAAAAAAAAATTAGAAATTAACGGCAGTTTTTCTTATTTCGACGTGTTTTTAGATACAAATGCTCGGTATGCGATAAGGGGTATAAATCTAAAGGCGAATTAAGAGATCACATCAACTACCAGCATATGGGCAAGACTCAACATAAATGTCCACTTTGCGGCAAGGTAAGGCTTTTTATTTATTATTTTAAACTTTTTCCTTCTAGGATTATTTCAAAACTCCCTTTCCCACATTAGGGTTTTTATCCAAAATATTTACCCCCTAAGTTTAATAGCGTTAAAATATATAGCCTAAAGCGTGACGTAAGTGTAGAGCTTTTTGTTAAAAAAAATAATTATTTCAAAATATGCTCTGATTGCTGAGATCTTAGGCAACAAAGAAGTGTGTTTACGCTTTATTATAGTAGTAAAGAGTATAGATGTTACTGATTTTTGTCAACTTCTATTTCTGTAAGTCTTGTAAGAAACAGAAAGGAGGTAATATTAAGAGGCTTTGTAAAGGGTTGTTCAGTATTTTTGTAGACGTTCCTACGGAACTTTCTAAATTTTATATAGTTGCCTTGGTTGTTGAATTTGTGTTTTGTTGAAAGTTGAGATAAATTCGTTATTTTGCTATTTCGTATTTTTATAAAATTTATTTGTAATGAAGGATCTAAAATAAATGTAAATAATTATTAAGGTGGGTCAAAGGGGGAAGTTATACGATTGTTATACGAAGTGATATATCTATTTTTATATGTGACATTTTTTGATTCTTTACAAGGGGTCACTCTCAAGTTGGCGACGCCCATAATTTATGTATATGATTACTAGGCGTTGGCGACACGTCGCTGCGTGACGCGCCACGTGCGGCGCGCGCACCACGGCCTCAAAGAGAACCCACGGGACAAGATGTGTCAACAGTGCGGCAAAGCATTTAGGGTTAGTTATTATTATTATTACAATCCCTTGACTATAGAAAATAAATTATAACAAGCTTATCTAAATATGTATCCCCTTTATAAGACTGTGTGTATCGTTAAAAGACTGACACTGCAAAATCATAGTCTACACTAATAAGAGAAAGATTTATTTTTGTATGTATTGAAATAATTTAAAAACTACTGAACCGATTTCGTTAATTCTTTCACCATTTAAAAGCTACATTAGGTATCACCGAGTAACATTATCTTCCTCCTTGTTCTACTCCCGTTGGCGCAACAGGTTTTTTTGTCCTCCACGTAACTATCATACGTCATCTCAGTCATCACTCCCTTCATCATGTCACCTTTCACACAATCTATCTCTTTACGTCTACCCCTACCGGTACATTCATATACTCATAACATGCCCCCATGCTAACCTTTTACTCCTTACCTTCTCTACCACTAAGGCTACTTTCAAACTATGATTATCACATAGGCTATGATTTCATTATTTCACGCGGACGAAGACGCGAGCTACACCTAGTTATCAATAACCAAAAATTTCTAACTCTCAGTATATCTGAGCCTTTTGTAATACCAAAAGAAAAATTCCAGATTTCAGGAAGATAATGCATTTGCGTTGCTGATAAAAAAAATTGTCTGTCTGTCTGTCCGTAAGCCGCGTTTGTTCCGGGTAATCTCTGAAACGGCTGGCCCGATTTCTAACGGTCTTTCACTGAATGGTTGCTGACATAGACGGGCATATTATAGGCTACCTTTTTTAATATTGCGTGGACGAAGTCACGGGCAAAATGTCGATATACATATTTTTTTCCAGGATAAAAAAGGTTTAAGGGAACATGAACTTATCCATACAGGGGAAAGACCTTTATCTTGTGAAATTTGCGGCTGCACTTTCAGACAACACGCATCTCTCTACACACACAGGAAGAGAATACATAAGATATGCAATAAGAGAAGGAGTATAGAATTAATGGAGAGTGAGATACCTAATACTTAAAGATCGCAGTGAAAAGTATAGTAAAATAAGCAATTTTGTCATGGTAAGAGGGATTATTCCCAACTGTCACCCCGCTCTGTCCCCACGTGGGGACAAATGAGAAGAAAAAGTTTCATCCTTCTCACCTTTTGCGACGAGAAGACGGTTGGAAATTTTTGTGTCTTAACGGTACCATCTGTCACCTTATTAGTGATGGTACTAAAAGGTGGGACGGAAGAAGCTTTTTGTTCTCACATGGGGACAGAGCGTGGTGACGGTTGGGAATCCAGTAAGAGACGATATTCGTTATTGTATATATGTAAAACATTTTATATAGTTTGTCTAAATGAGATAGATTAGTTTGATAAATGACACATATGAAGTATCGAATTTAATATCCGGCTGAAAAGTCGTTCTGTATTCTGTATACATATAAAAAAACTTGTATATAAGAAAAAATCATAAATCATTACTTTCTCAATAAAAGTGTTTTATTTACATACTAACTTTCCCCTACTCCGTCCGTGGTATTAAAAACCCACAAAAGTATCCTACGTGTTCTAGACTATTCTTTCTCTTTTACTTCCATTGAGATCCTTTTTAAGTATACGATATATACAACCATCCTTTCGTCTTTATGTAGGATTCTATATAGTGTAAACTCCATATAACGTTTTTTTTTTTTTTTTTTATAGCATAAGGTGGCAAACGAGCAAGCGGCCACCTGAATCCGCCAAAATGGCGAAGCGACCGCTGCCCATAGACATCCGCAATTGCAAATGCGTTGCCTACCCTTATACGACGGAGGAGGAAACGCATATAAAGAGGATATTTCCCCTTCCTATGCATCTCCTCCACCGTTAAATCCACTTCCCTTTCCCAACCTCTCCTTATAAGAAAAGGGTGGTAAAGGGAAAGGGACTTAAATTAGGCCATATAACGTCCCTCGATTTAACGACAAACTCCCTAAAGCGACGAAATCTGGCTTTGGTTTAGCTTGTCTTCCATACACTACATAGCATTACATCCACCCTTTATAACGACCACAAGACCACAATTCAGTAATAATTACTGCAGTGGTGCAGCAAGACGTCATACAAAAATAAGACTACGCAATAGCATTCAAATATCAATTTTATATACGTAACTAAAACTATTTCAAAATAAACTTCTCTTTTTCTAATCTCCATTTAACTCTCTATAACGCCATAAAATGGACAGTCCCTTCAGTGGCGTTATATAGAGTTTACACTGTATCTTCAAATCTTACTAGCTTTCGCCCGCGACTTCGTCTGCGTGGTATAAATATTAGGCTGTGTTCTTCCAGATCTTCTATACCTTTGCCCAAACTTTCGCATTTTGTTCATACTAATATTATAAATGCGTAAGTTTAGATCTGTCACCTTATTGGTGATGGTACTAAAAGGTGGGACGGATGAAGCTTTTTGTTCTCACATGGGGACAGAGCGAGATGACGGTTGGGAATCCAGTAAGAGACGATATTCGTTATTGTATATATGTAAAACATTTTATATAGTTTGTCTAAATGAGATAGATTAATTTGATAAATGACACATATGAAGTATCGAATTTAATATCCGGCTGAAAAGTCGTTCTGTTTGTAACTTTGTACCCTAAAAGGATTTCCATGAAATTTGGCATAGATTTAAAATAACTTTGAAGAACACATAGGCTACTCACTTTTTTTTTAATTCCACGCGGACGGACTCTCGGGCGAAAGCTTGTTTATATTAGTAAGTTATGTAAAAGTGTCTTTATGGTTAAATAAATACACAATAAAGGAAAAAATATATAATTTTATTTACATGTCATTTATTATCTTCACAGAAGGCAAACTTTCATGTCATTTACATATGAGCAGTTTCTTAATCAACTATAGTCTTTATTTCCCTTATTAAAAATAGGGTAAACAGTAATTATCAAAAATGAATTTATTACAGTTTACTTCAGTAATTTGTTATTTTTATCTATGTATGTACATACATCATCTAAATTCACTTTAAGGTAGATTTGCCTTTTAGAGGCATTCGGTGTTAATTTGCCTTATAGAGGCATTTGGTCTTAGCCTTTTAGAGGCATTTGGTGTTAGCCTTTTAGAGGCATTTGGTGTTAATATTCCTTATTGTGGCATTTGGTTTTAGCCGTTTAGAGGCATTTGGTGTTATTTGCCTTATAGCGGCCTTTGGTGTTATTTTGCCTTTGGGATGCTTTATGTGTTAATTTGACTTATAGAGGCATTAAGTGTTTCTTATGACATGGATATTTGATATTTATTTTGCTTTATGCCTGCAGTTGGTTTTTTTTTCTTATGATGGATGTTTCTTTTGATTTATTAAGGCATCTAGTATAAATTTAAAGGCGAACAGTGTCTTATTTGCCTTCCAGAGGCATTAATATCTTTAGGCAAAGCTTTCTCCGTCTATATTTTACATATAAATTCTTCTTAAATGCTGTGTACTTGTTATTGCATTACATTGTGGACATATTTTCTTCGCTTTTAAAGATTGCAACCAACAGACCTGTAAATTATATATTAATAAAAAAAACATAAAAATGAAAATTTATTTCTACATATCTACAAAACTTAGTATTTCAATAAAAATCGTCACAGATGTGGATAATATAATGGAAAATCACTTACTTATTATGTTTTTTTTACATCCATACTAATATTATAAAAAGGAAAAATTTGTATTTTTGTATTTATTTAATTCACGTAATACTGGGCCGATTTGAAAAATTCTTTTACCATTAGAAACGTAATTTATCTGCGAGTAACATACATTTTTTTTTTATTTAATGTCACGCGAAGTCGCGAAAACAGCTAGTATATAATGATTTACCTCACAATGTACATGCCAGCATTGTATGGAGACCGCAGGAGATATATGAGGACCTAAACATATTAGACATTTCGCCTGGAATTAAACAAAAATTGAATATTAATACAAAAACATACTAAAAAAGGATGCAATAGAAATATATCTTAACAATATCTTTATAACGCTGTATACAGACTTCTTTTTATTATTATTTTACTAATAAATGGGCAAATTTGGATGGATGGATGTTTGTACACTAACTGCTGAACGAAATTTGATGAAATATGGCACAAATGTAGATAATAAGAATACATAGGCTACTTTCTTATCTTTTATTTCCACGCGAACGGAGTCGCGGGCAAAGCTAGTAACATATTTAATTGCAAGAGAATTTTCTACAATCTATCTATACTATTATAATAAAGCGTAAACACACACTTCTTTGTTGCCTAAGATGTCAGCAATTACTGCTTATTTTTGAATAATTCTCTTTTTAATTAAAAGCCCTACATTTACGTCACGCTTTAGGCTATAATTTCACGCCATTAAACTTAGGGGGTAAATATTTTGGATTAAAACCTTAATGTGGGAAAGAGACCATAAGTTGCTGCCAACATCAAGGAAGGTTGCCAAGGTTGTCATAATGTCATGTCATTTTGACATTTGTTATTGATAATTTAAAAAATGTAAAGAATAAACTAAAATTTTCATAATTTCATGCGGATGAAGCCGCACGGGAGCAGCTAGTATTATAATAAAATACATACCTCGGAAGCTGAATTCTGTCTGTTTTCTAATTCTTTAATTTTAGCTTTCAATGCTTGTATTCTTGTCTGAAACAATTACAAAATAGTTACATTTTTTTTTTATTTTTCTATGAAATAGATGAACTAAAAAACTACTGGAGTTATTTTAAAAAATCTTTCACCATTAGAAAGGTAATTTATCATTTATTGATATTGGATATATTTATTATTAAATTTATTTACATTATGTTAGATCTGAGTGTTTTTATTTATATTTCTTCTTAGATTTTTAAAATTTTCTAATTGTGACCAAGTTTTTTCCTTCTCTTCTGTAAAACTCTGTGTTCTGTTTTAGGGTTCATAGAAAACAAATGAATTTCTTTCTTTCTATTTACAAAAAATAGTAAAAAACATGGAATTATAGAATACTAACTGTTGCTTGCGACTTCGCCCTCGTAGAATCTATACATATAATAAAATTGGAGTGTCTGTAATATCAAAAAAAAATTCCAGATTTCGGGAAGATGATGTATTTACATTGTTGATAACGAAAATCGCATTTAAATTTTATTTGTCTGTCTGTCTGCAACCCGCGTTTGTTCCTGGTAATCTCCAAAACGTCCGGGCCGTTTTCGACCGGACTTTCACTGAAGGGTAGCTGACAAAGACAGGTATATTATAGGCTACTTTTTTATCTTAATATTGCGTAGAAGTCGCGGGCAACAGCTAGTTAAAATAGCTTATATTACTCACAGATAATCTAGCTTTTTAATGGTGTGAGAATTTGCTAAATCGGTTTAGTAGTTTTTGAGTTCTAATACATACAAAAATACCAATCTTTCTTTTTTATAATATACATACCTCTGCGCTTGCTTCAACAATACCATTTGATTTTGTAGATTCATATCTTTTTATAGTTTCTTCTTGATTATCTATAGGACTTTCTTCTGTCTGTTCGTCTGTTAAATGTATATCTGCCTGGAAATAAATTAACCAATTAGAAAAAAATAGAATTAACCTGTTTTTGTAGGTACTTTAAAAAATTACTCAAATCGTAACATAGAAGAGTAAAATCCGTCGACATCTATACTATTATAATAAAGTGTAAACACACACTTCTTTGTTGCTTAAGATGTCAGCAATTACACCATATTTTTGAATAATTCTTTTTTTATATGAAATCCCTACACTTACGTCACACTTTAGACTACACATTTTCATGCCATTAATCTTAGGGGATAAATATTTTGGACAAAAAACCCAAATGTGGGAAAGAGACCATAAGTTGCTGCCAACATCAAGGAAGCAAGATTGCTAAGTTGTTTTATGTCATGCCATTTTGACATTTGCAATTGACAATTTGACACATGTAAACAATAAAACAATAAAGACTATGTATTACACAAATTCCTAATTTAAATCACAATTACTAAAAAATTACAATCTTACTAATATTATAAACTAGCTTTCGCCCGCGACTCCCTCCGCGTGGAATTAAAAATAAACAAAAGTGAGTAGCCTATATGTTCTTCCAGACTATCCTCTACATCTATACCAAATTTAATTGAAATCCGTTCCGCCGTTTAGGTTACAAACTCTAACAAACATCCATCCATCTAAACTTTCGCATTTATAATATTAGTATGATGATATTAGTATAGATTTCAATGAAATTTGGTATAGATGTAGAGGATAGTCTGGAAGAACACATAGACTACTCAATTTCGTTTATATTTAATTCCACGCGGATGGAGTCTCGGGCGAAAACTAGTATTCCTTATAAAAACATACCACTTTCTCTTTCCATCCATACACTAAAGCAAAAAATACATATTGATGGTATTGTGTGTGACCGGCATTATATTGTGATTACAGTTGGCTTTGCTTACCTCAGGTGCTATCCTCGATGGAGAATACTGCGGAGGTCCATATAATTCTGTATCTTCATCACCATCCACTACCTGAAAACATTTAAAATATAACTTTTACTATTGATTTTACCCGGGATTCTCTACATGGTTTTACAAAAATGTAAGTAGTTATGTTGTTCCAGACTATACTCTACATTTTCAGTAGTTTAGGATACAAACTGTAACAAACATACATACTTTCGCATTTATATTAGTAAGATTAGCTGTCGCCAGCGACTCTGTCCGCGTGGAATTAAAAAAAAACAAAAGCAAGCCTATGTGTTCTTCCAGACTATCCTCTACATTTATACCGAATTTGATTAAAATCCGTTCAGTTGCTTAGGTTACAAACTCTAACAAACATCCATCCATCCATCTAAACTTTCGCTTTTTTTTATAACATAAGGTGGCAAACGAGCAAGCGGCCACCTGAATAAAATAGCAACCGCTACCCATAGATATCTGCAATTGCAGATGCGTTGCCTATCCTTATCCGACAGAGAAGGAGATGCACATGAACAGGATATTTCCCCTTTCTAGGCATCTTCTCCTCCGTCAAATCGACTTCCCCTTCCCATCCTCTCCTTATAAGAAAAGGGTGGTAAAGAGAAAGGGACTTAAATTAGGCCTCCGGCACCACACTCATCAGACGAATGCTTCCATTTGACGCCTGTCTTCTGTGGGGTCGTGGTATTACTGAGGGCGTGCCGGCCCTGCACTGCTAAGATGTCAAAGCGGACACTACCACTGTCAAAATTATATTAGTATTTATAATAATAGTTGTATTACCAAAGCTTGATCATTAGAAACTCTCCGGACAGCTGTGGCGACTCTGCCTTCAGCGGCTTGCAGAGCCGCAGCCCTAACCCGCCACTCGCCGCACCACTGGTACTCCGCCCCAAAGCCCCCTGACGGCTCATCGTTCTGCCAACACATTTATAAACTAGATTTCGCTCGCGGCTCCGTCCGCGTGGAATTAAAAACAAAAGAAAGTTGTCTGTCTTCAGACTATCCTCAATCATCAAGATTCCAGACATCATAATACCCCGCTGAGTCTCTTTTAGACCTCAGGAGGTGTATATACTCTCATTCAACATACCTCGACATCAATGCTGCCTTCTTCCGAGCTGGTGTCAGGTACATCATCATCCATCTCCGCTCCCGTTCTCTTGAGACATCGTAATGCATGTCGCTGCAGTCTGGACACAGGTAATGTAGCATTACAGACGGGACACTCTCCGGTCTGCGGTGGTGGTGAGCGACGTCTAGCACGAAGTCTACGTAAACGATTTGAATGTACCCTCTGGAATTTATTAAAAGAAACATTATTTATTTATACACTACATATGACTTTCTATAGTGTTTGTAATATCAAAAGAAAAATTCCGTATTCCAGGAAGTTGATGCAGTTGCGTTGATAATAACGAAAATCGCATTTACAACATTTTTGTCTGTCTGTCTGTCTGCAAACCGCATTTGTTCCGGGTAATCTCTGAAACGGCTGAGCCAATTTCGACTTGACATTGATGTTCTACATCTGTGACAAATTTCATAAAGATGCAGCCGTTCAGATTACAAACATCTATACATTAAAACCAGTGATTCCCAAAGGTCTATATAAACCCCTAGGGGTCTATGACAACTTGCAAGGGGGCTACGTCAGCGAAAAAAAATTGGGGGTCCGTGAAATGAAAATGGTGTCCACAATAGTGGATGAATACATACACTGATAGCACCTATTTACTTACATCATACTATCTTATATCAAAACATATACATTATTAATTTGAGTAGTTTATATTTAAATTCAATTAATAAATGTATAAATTAACATGTGTTTTACTTTACTTTTTAACACTAAACTTCAGTTAGCAATTTACAGGAAATCAATATCAAGTAAGTAGGGGGTCTACCCAACACCGTTAAAAATGGCAATCTACAACACAAAAAGTTTGGGGAACTTTGATCTAAACTTTCACAATAAAGTAGAACCTCTATAAGTTAAAGTCCACGGGAAACACAAAATATTTTAAGTTATAGAAGTTTTAAGTTATCAAGGGACTATGTTATAGAGGTTTTGGGTTCTGATGGGAAGGGAACATATTATTTTTTGAAGTTATAGAGGTTTTTATGTTACTGAGTTTGAGTTATGGAGGTTGTACTGTATAGTAAAACATACTAAAGCAACTTAGACAAGTTAGGATGATAATGTAAATATAAACATCTAAGAGTAACTTGATATGATGAACTCTAGTATTAAAAAATCATAAGGTGTTTTATTTCTGGTCAGTCTATACCGAAGGTGTGGTACACAAGAACCATTATGACCACTTGTCAAGTGAAGTGTTCTCTTTGTAATCTTCCACTGAATTTTATAAGGGGTCAGCGAAGGTCTGTTGGAGTTTTATTTTTTATATTGGGTATTTTTGCCACCAATAGCGTATATTTATTGAAAGCAGCCGAACTTAAGTAAAATAATAGATTCTAAGTATAACTTACTTGGTAAACATCGCCTCCTAAACAACCAGTAACATCAACATCTTCATTTTGAACTTCAGTATTACTTGAACCAGGGACTGCTAGATTAGAATTAGTCGGACTATTAGCACTTAGTTTCCGTTTAGAACCACCATTCGACAGTTTTTGTAATCTTTCAACTTCTAAAGCAAGATGCGACTCCAATTCTCCCTGTCTTATAGTGCAGCTACAAACAGGGCAATTTGCCTGTTCCGATACTTTCTTCCGATTTCTAACACTATTTAGTATAATATTCTCATCGTAAACACTGCAGAAATTATTACCACTGCTGTTCAAATTAGAAGATCCTTCCATATTATACATAAGGACAGGTAACATCTCAATGTTTTTCAAACACTGTAACATAAATCTAATTTCATCACGGTTTACACTAAATAAAATACAATTATAACTAATTGATAATGTAAATTGAAGTTGGAATAATTTAAAGGAACTCTTCTTGCAAGTATTTTTAAGTAAATTTGTTACTAATTTAAATGATAAGTGAACGTAAACAATAATAAATAGGACGTTAGTATTTTTTTAAATGACAATTTGACAATACAACAAAATCTTTTCATCTGTAATTGCCATGTTAAAAAAAAAATGTCAGATATTTTAAGTCAACATGATTTATTTGTCTTTATTTTAATGAACGTGACTTTAGGTGAATGTGAGTTAAGGTAACACAAGTTAGAATTGATTTTAGGTACCAGTTTAGGTAACCTAGTCCAATTTTAGTTTTTACGAAGTGCGATAAATTACAAATGGATTATATTTACTCTTTGTTATTTTTGTAACGGTGTAATTTAGTTACTCTTTGGTCATTGTCACCTGTCATTATATAATCGATTTTTAAAATGTCTTGTGACAAAGCGTATTGATTTAGTTTTTTATTGTAAAACATTTTAATTTACACAATGGTTACTTTGGTATTCTACTAGACATAAGGTGTCTATGTTAAATCTATTTTGTCTGGATCGTTTGTTGATTTGTTGTATTTCTTCTTCATTGTACGTATAACGTAATTACCTCAAGCATGTCTCATCTCATAGGATTGCACTTCGAAAAAGTGAGAAAAAAGGTCTTCAAAGTCGTAGTCTACATGGTTTTCTAACAGACGCTGTATTTGCGAGACATAGGGTGATATTCACCTAAGACTATTTTGTGGTTTTCCGCCTGCGATTTTTTAAGTTGCTATAGTTGATTGGCAGCGGGCACTTCGCTATTTTAGCAAAATAAAGTGGCCGTTAGCTGATTTTTTTTAAAATAAACGTTTGTTACTATAGCTATATCATGTTAACACAAATTTTGTAGTGCTGTTCTTGTTTGTAAAGGTAATAATAGGAATAGTACCAGTTCAAATAAAACTTCTCTTCTTCTTCTATAGCTCTACAGTCCTTTGTGGGCCTTGGCTTGGTCCATCAATTTCTTCTATTTTGGCTTATCTCAGGCCACAGTCCTCCAGTTTGCTATGCCAAAGGTTTTCACATCTCGACTTATGCAGTCTATCCATCGGAGCTTTGGCTTCCCTCGACTTGGCGGCCCTCGGGATTACTTGTCATAACACATTTAGAAACTCTAGTGTCATCCATCTGCTCCATGTGGCCCTCCCATCTGAGCCTGTTCAATTTAATGTGTTCAATTTACTTATGTTTAAATAAAACACAAGTACAAAAATGGAAAAATCGAGATGTTGGTCTTTTAAGTACACAGAAAATGTTGTTTGTGTAATGGGTAGAAAACATACTTATGGGCATAATTGCATCCCATTCTTCACTTGAGAGCTACACTGTGAATAATTATTGGCCTCCTGCTTTTTGCCAAACCTACTTGGGATGTTGTTGATTTGTTTGAACTAGTATTGTAGTCACACTTTGTTGGCTTCATCAGCTAGTAATGGAATGTTGATACCTTTTTGTCTTCTTGCTAGGGTGAGGATATTCCCTTGATCCTGAACCATGTTATTATGCACATTGAGATGTGTTCATTTATTATTTTTCCTTTTATTCACCTACTAAAGCTGTAATATCTGAGAATTTAAATGTGTTACCCTTTACTAAAGGGTGTTTATTGTTTGCAACTTTACAAATTGTAGTTTATGGGTAGCTGTCACTTTGCTATTTTAGTGATATCTGATGGTTATTACCCACTTTAAAAAAAGGTTTTTTTACTATGGCTTTATGGTGTTAACACAAAGTTTGTAGTGCTGTTCTTGTTTGTAAAGTGCATAGTACCAGTTAAAATAAAACATCCTTGTTCAATTTACAATTGAGAAATGTATTTTAACAACAAACAGGAAGGTAATGATACAAAGGATCATAGATCAATGTGTTGGGGTTGCCAACAGTTTTATGAATACTTCATGAAGAATTTTTCATACTACAATTTGATCAGTCAGTGTTGCCTTGGTTTCTTGACTAGGGGACCTATTTTATGAAAGAGGTTTTATAATGAAACCACTGTTTTATCTATTCTATTTTAATATTTGACAGCATTAAATGCTATTTGCTGTACAGTATTTCACAATCCAATTTATCTTTAACTGCTAATAAGTGGCTTGCAATTTACTTCCCAGTTTTCGATTACCGCTGGTGAAAAAGATGAGGATGAGCAAGGAGGAACACGCAAGGAAAATAAAAAAGAAAATAACCATACTAACAACTTATATTGAAAATAGCAAGAGTTTATATACAATTTGAAAATTATGTACAAATCAGCCTAGCAAACGTGACATTGTGATGAAGACTAATTGAATTATTTTACAAAAAGAATTAATTAAAAAAATATAAATTCTTATTTTAAAAAAGTAAAAACATAAAAAGGTTACTCGCATCGCCAACATGCCCGCCCCCTGATGTCACAAGACGACAAAAAACTTTAAGTACTTAAAAAGTAAAATCAAACTAGAGTGTCTTAGTCTGTAGAATATTTGATGAAACTCTTCTAATAAATATTTTAATGTGAGTTAGGTTGGGAGCCCAAAGTAAAATGTTTTAAAAAAGATATGAAGACTTTATTTAATAACCGGAAAACTGCTCACGAGGAGCACTGCGGACGAACTGATTGTCTTTACAAATGTTTTATAAACGAAGACATCCGAATACAATGAGATTCCTTATAAGCCCTTATCTTAGAATAAATGGCTTACAGTGATAACTTGAACTTATGATAACTTAATACTAGTTATGGCTACGTAACTCCTCCGCCCGAAGAACGAAGCGTACTGGAGCTTGGGGTTGGGGTGAATCTTCGCCATCAGCCCTTAGATCTTGCCCTTCTTGTAGCTCGATGTCAGGATGTAGGGTTGCATGCCGGAACTTGTATTTTCTGACTGCTTTACTTATGATATAGCCCATGATAGTAGTGCATAATGCAATAAGTGACATGGTTAGCCAGCTCGGATTATTTTTTATTAGTTGTTTTTTCAGTATGACATTTGCATCTAAAACTTGTGCTCTATTAAGCAGCGAGTGGATGTTGTCTTATTCTACATTTTTAATCTTCACTATAGTGTTTGATGTATTCGGGTTGGAGCTGGGTATATGTATAGTTTCCTTTATTTTTATATACCTTTAGTGCGTTTCTAAGTTGTTCCTGACTCTAACCTTACATTGGTCGTTGATGGTTATTCAGGTGGTTCCTTTAATCCGCTGATATTGCGTTTCGTTGTTACATTTGATGCGAATAACTGTTTCCTTTCTTAGTACGACTATCCACGTATTCCGCTTCATTTGTTGAATGAGTTTATCTTTATACGATGCTGCAACTCTGGTGCAATTTTTCGGTTCCTTTTGTTGCGTAATTATTTGTGCAATACAATCTGTTTTGAAGCGGCTGCCACTCGAAATGCTTGCATATCTGTAGGTCTTCTGTTACGGGTGTGCAAGGCCCTTGGGGGTATGCGAACTCATTATTTCCGATTATAAGGTAGGTATGTTTGGGGACAAGCATGATATCATTTGCCGTGTTACTAATGGCACTTCTAATATAAAGTTGAGACTTTTAGTGCTATATGCCTTAACATCTATGCTTTTCACTATATTATGTATGTTTACAATTTTGGGTTCAAAGGGTCATCATCATCATCAACAGCCTTTATCCGCCCACTGCTGGGCATAGGCCTTTCCCAAATCCACAGATTGCGGTCCTCCGCCTTCCGCATCCAACGACTTCTCGCCGTGCGCACTAAGTCGTCGGTCCACCTGGGTGGAGGACGCCTTACGCTCCTGGTCCCCTTTCGCGGCCTCCATTCAAGGACTTTTCTCCCCCATCTGACGTCGCTGGCCCGACAGATGTGACCGGGCCATTGTCACTTCAGCCTACTGATTTTGAGAGCTATGTCGTCAACTTTGGTTCTCCGTCGAATTTCTTCGTTCCGGATTTTATCCCTTAGAGAAACTCCGAGAATAGCTCATAGCATAGGGTAATTTAATATTATTCTTTACTCTAATCGACTCTTCTAATAGTTGGTTAGGGTTTACAATGCTGGGATGTAATTTATTCAGTTGTGCAAAAGTTATTGATAATTTGTTATATAATAATTGTAAACAATTCTCTATTTGTGTATTTCTACGATATTAACCTTATTATCTAGATAATCTATCTTAGTACTTAGACTATTTATGACATCGGCTAAATGTCTTTGGTTATTTGCTATAACATCTTTAGAATATTGGCCCATAAATTCTTTCATAATACTTAATGATTGTTTTTGGTAAATCTGATTATCTGTTCTAATTTCATTTATTTCTTTTTCAAATCTAAGGGCATCTTCGTTGTCGAGGTTGCCTGTTATGGCCTTTACTATTGAACCTAATCCGTTGATCAGTCGTCTTTTAGTTCTACCTTGCGAATATAAATGTTCGTAATAGCTACTCTTACTGGATCCTAGATAGGTTAACTTATTTTCTATAACGTTAGTGATATATTCTATTTGTTTCCTGTACACTGATCTATCTCTATGTTTCCTTATTGTTATTTTCTATCCTACTGAGGTTAAGGGAAATATCTCCTTTCTGTGTATAATTCTCTAAGTTGTATGAGGTTATAAATGCAAATAACATGATATGTGTTTATTTGTTGTTGTACGGACGCTTCCTTAAGGATCATTAGTCTGTTATGATTTTCCACGGATTCTATTACACCTGAGGATGCTTATGATGGCGATGCATCTTGAACAACATTACGACGTAGCATTTTAAAATGCACTCTAATTGTTTTGGCATTAACGTGTTTACCTTCGATCTCGACAATTTGAATGGGATGGATCCTAACGATCGTATACGGTCCTAAATAACGCGGTTTTGTCTTTTTACTTCGTGATATTTTAGCTACTTGTTTGTAGACTTTATCACCTACTTTATACCGGACTTCGTCGGTGTTTAGATTTACTTTATTTATGATGTTTTCTTTCTCTGTCTCTAATTTATTTGTAACTAGTTTATGTGCTATCTCCATTTCCTATGGTTATCTACGTACTCTTGGTAATATTCTTGAGGGTAGAATATTTCTAACGGGTTTCGACCACTG